AGTGAAATCCGTGCTTGTATTAGCAAAATCGGGGCGGAGTTCGGAGATGATCCTTGCCGTATTTTTTCAGGCTCATAGCCTGTAATGTATGTTTTTTTGTGTGCTTCCTACTGCCCATGCATGTATTATGACCATGTTTGTTTCATTGCAGAGCTCGGTGAAAGGCTTGCAGTTGGGTGGTTTGAACATCGTGTCTCTCACAGACGCGACCCCGGTGACGTGGAACTGCTACAGACCCCGCAAGGCAAGACGATTGTGAAAGGTTAGGTGCGTTGGGTGACCCCCTTCAGTGATGAAGCAAGAGAAAATAAGGTGTATGAAGTGTTTTCATTGTGAATACATTGTAAAATTAATCACGTTATTTTTTTAGGGAAGTTTGAATGCAGACTGGTGTTTGGAACGATGGCTGGTGACCAACACACACTTCGGTACATGTGCCACATGCCTCCAGTCCTTGTGCGTCTCTTGGTGCCAGCTGAACTGGGGAACCCGAACGTTGGGCGGAGGTGACGTCATAACTCGCAAAGCATTCTGGGCCAGGGCTGTTGGCGAGGGAAAATGGCGGCCGGTGACTTGACGTGGTGTGTTTGCCGCACGCATAGTTGTAGACAATTTGCGTGGTGAAGGCCTGTGGGCCGCGTGGTGTATGGTGACAATTGTAGGTTGTTTCGCTGGATTTTATTGTGTAAGGTTTGGTGCGATCGTAGGAAGAGAAACAGAAGACTTTCACGGTGGAAAGGTCGTCGCCATATTGGAACTCTGGTTGGTGGCTATCTGCAAGACCCTGATATCCGGTACTTCAGTTAGGGCACAGGGGGTGTGCAAATGTTATTGAGAAACATTTTGTAAACGTGTATTTTACAAGAACAAGCTCTGCTGAATCCTGCTTCAGCTGATTGTGGTCATCCAGCATACTCTGAAACTTTAGATGCCAATGGAGGTAAGGCTAAGTCATATGATGTGTAACTAACAACTGGGTTGTAATGATTTCAGGGTCATATGCATGTTGTTTTGGGATTTTGTTATCTCCCTCATGCAGTTAAATGTGTAAATTTTGCTTAAACATAGCAATAAACTGTAATCATTGGCAAGGAGCTCAATTTTTTAAGGTCTGACCTTTGTGCATGCACTGGTGCACATTTTCAGGCAATGGGTTGGTTGTATAGGAAAATGGTTGTGAATTTTACTGTGGTGATGCTGTTATTTTGTTTTTACACTTGTCCTGGTGGAGTACTCCGCACTCTTGCTCTCTCAGAGCATTTCCGTCCCATGGTCCTGCTCATTGGCTTAGGCCAGTCTGAGGTGCATTTTTCAGTGGTCAGAGCATGTGTTCCACCCTTATTTTTAATGCTTTGGATTAGCTGGTTCCATAGCTCACTGGAGATGTATGATTCACTACATTTTAAGATGGACCCATTTGAGAAATTAGCCATTTTGTTAACATGTTGTAGTGCATGGGATGGGCCTTGGCTGGTGTTTCATCATCAGCTCTGTGCTAAATGAGTACAGGCTTTTATTCATTACAGAATGCTGCTAGTATGCTCTTGCAGCATCATGTAATTTACCTCTACTTTCCCATCAGCAAGTAAGGTCAAGCTACTTGACCTTGTTTAGGTCATAAAGTATACAGTCTTCATAATTTTCTGCATTACCATGCTCCATTTATTTGATGGTGTATTTTTATGCATTTCAGCAGAAGAAGTGGCTTTTCTTGTGAAGGCTGACAATCTCAGATTTGGACAAGATAGACATCAGTTATATTCATTGCACAAGGAATTATATTTTTCAATTGCAACAGCATATAGCACAGTCCCTTTATGTGGCTGTGTCATGCTTGTATGCCACCAAAGTCATGATGCAGAAGACATTATACCATTCTGTTTCTGCCATAAGTTGCAGAGTACTCATCAATTTATTTGTATACTTCAGCACAGCAAATTTCTGTCTTTACCAGCTTTGTTCTTGTGCCATACCTCATCTGCATTGGGCATGCAGGCACACCATTAGATTATTTGTTCCTCAGGATTATCACACCAGCGATGATTCTTTGGGACAGCTCTGCTGCAGGTCAAACTTTAAGGTCATAAGTGCAATAATCTTGGTTTGTTAAGCTCAGGACTAAGGTATGGACTTGAAATTGGACTCAAGACACCCTCTTGGAGGTTGTCTTAAAGGTTTCGTAGGGGAAAGAGTAACAGAACCAGACTGAAGAGTGGGCTGTCACAATTCTCCACAGGCAAACGATTTTTCATGGGAAATAAACTTGACATCACTTCGTCATATTACTTTTGGCTCAGTATAAGCAAGTTTAATGTTGTGGCAGTATGTTTGCTGACTTATTGCTTGGTCTGTAGTATGCAAGTAGTCAAATGTTCTTTGGATTCATTGCTCTATCCTTCACTTTGCAGAGAAAATACCTGGGGACATTTAATATCAATTTGTATGTTACAAATACGAACCTGCGGTACGCCTCATTCACGAGAGGACAATTATAATTTTAATAAAGTTACCATGTCTACAGTGCATGCCAAATAATTCATTGGCGCCAGGAGGCAAAGTACCATCCTTTTTAGCACTTTTCCAGATTGTCGCGACGAATTATGAAACTGCTGATTCAGTTCTGGGCATGGGTGGCGCCAGGATTCGACGCCAGGAGCACAACACTGCTGGGGAAAGGGAGGGGAGGGTGGGGGGGGGGGGGGGGGCAATTACAAGGGCAGGTGGCTGAGGCCTGTAACTCGGAAGGGAAGTAGGTCCACTTTCACAGCATGATGAGTATTGGCGTGAGGGGGAGCAACGCCGGGCGCGAGGGAAGGGGGGCAATAGGCTCGTCCTCCCCCTTAAGCGCAGTCGTGACGCTCCCACCTCAGGGCACCTACCAATCACAACGCTCCGTGATTTTCTTCAGCAGTTTCCGTTACCTTGCGCGGTGCTTACAATGGTTTCATTTTTAATGAAAGTGTTAACGATGGATGGCTTGGGCTTTCCATGATGGCTTGGGGCCCTCAGTTTGGGCCGGATGGGAAGGGATTACCCTCGGCGGTCTTGCCTCAGCCTGAATGTGGGAAGGTAGAGTGTGAGACAAAGTGGGAAGGCGCAGTGTCATCGGCTCCCTCCTTCAGCGTGGTTTTCTGTATCCGGTCGCCATAATTTCTTCGATGTTCCAAGTTCGGTTCCGCCATGGACTATCGTTTCCCAGAATCAACGTGTGGAACGCTGTCGTAATCCAGGTAGCACTCCCAGGCCAGGGGCGGGCGCAGGTAGGCCAGGTGGTGTCCGAGTTTTGGCGGTAGTGTTGAAAGTTTCGGGTCTAGAGATGTGCGTGTGTCGCGTTGGGCAACGAAAGGGGGTTGCACGTCTCCCACTGTGTGGCGGCCATATGACTGGTGTTGAAACTGTTGCGCCAACCAATCTATGCTTACATTTGTGGAAGCAGAGCATTTCAGTGCACGCGCATCCGTTGCACTTGGAAGTGAGTGAGACGGATGCATTAGTATGGCGGTGATATGCGCAAGCCGGTAGCACGCCTGCCACCTTAGATAATGTTTTATCATACATGCTTCTGCCATGCAAGCTAGGGTGTTGCCAGCCACAAGGGAGGTAAGGAAGGAAGGTGTGCAATCCTGGCGGTATGAGAAGAACATCAACCCACATTTTAGCTTGTGTCAAATGTATGTTTTCGTGTGTCGTGGGGAGTTCATGGGCGGCTTGCAGTTGACTTGCGTCAATATTTGGACGGAATTTAGTTATTTTGCTTTTTGCTTTGTCAAACTGAGCCAATTTGCATGTGGCGTAAATATGGCCGTCAGGTATATTTCATCATATCTTCTGCCGGAGTATGCCGTTATCGATGCCCATTTTTTGTTCAGTCATTCAAGTCATTTAGTTCGCAGTCCCTAAGTCCAATCGTTGCCGAAATCATCTCAAGCCGCCAAGTCATAAACCCATCCTTTTCTGAGACATTTTCGCGCTTGTATTGTGCGCGCCTCATTTCGCTTCACCAGTTGGCACGTTCCTGTTAACCTTGAAAAGGTCTGGAATAGCCGGTCAGCCTGGCTGCTTGGCTGTCCCACTTGGCTGCGGGTCGCGCGGGATAGTACCAGTACGTGAAAGGCATCTTCAGCTTTCAATTTCGTATTTTGAGAACACGTTTCGTTAGATACAAGTAGCAAGTATGCATTTGAATCTGATACAGGTGAGAAAGAAGGAGAGTGTGAGAGAGAGTGAGGATTATGTGTGCGTTGCATCAATCTGTGAGTCGCATCAGATCAATCCGTGAGTCACATCAGATCATGCGTGAGTCACATCAGATCGATCCGTGAGTTACATCAGATCATCCGTGAGGTACATCAGGCCAATCCTTGTTACGTCAGATCGATCCGTGAGTTACACCAGGTCATCAGATCAATCCGTGAGCTACAGCAGGACAATCCGTAAGTTACAGCAGGTTAATCCGCGAGTTTCATCAGACCATCCGTGAGTTGCATCAGGTCAATTCGTAAGTTACAGCAGGTCAATTCGCGAGTTACACCAGATAATCCGGAGTTACATCAGATCAACCCGTGAGTTACGTGAGATCAATTCGTGAGTCACAACGATCGATTTCACTTAATTGACGAGTCGTTCCAACAACTGGCGTATTGGATGGTTCGGTACAAGCTCGATAGTGGTTTAAGTGCAAATTAAAAAATGACGACCACATCCGTACATGGATCAACCATTCCGCCTCCCACGCACTTCGTCAAAAGCATAATTATTTGTCTTCGGAGCATGTCATACTGCGGCAAACACGTCGCCGGGTGGGTGCGAACCTCCTCGCGGGTACGGGAAATGGCGACGGTCGGCGGTAAGCGGCTCCACGATGAGGCTGCGCAACACGAAAAGGCCCTGCGTGTCACCGACAGGCCGAGAGGTGCGCCCCCCCCCCCCCCCCCCTCTGGCGCCCGGGTAGCTCGCTGGCGTGCAGCGGTACGTGGAGTGAACAGGGATCCGGACCGCCACCGAAGCCCGAGAGTCATTAACGGATCTGAACGCTGCGAGGCCGTCGCGGTAGCCACCATCACCGCGCCAGCTCAGCGCTTGAGCAATCGCCGCCATTGAATCTCGCCGACGAGTATCGCTGACGATCATGGCCCCAAAGTTCGTCACCCCTTGCACTCAGTTTAGGTGATACGCTAAAGCCCAACCCCAGACTGAGGGGCAACGCAGAAGATCTGGGGAATAGGTGGAACAATGCGCCACGCAACGCTTGAAGAGAGAAGACAAAACTTCGTCATTTTACTTTGTACCAAACGGAATCAACCTAGTTAGGGGTAAAGATGTCGTCAGAGTCCGGACGTTTGTGTGAGCAGCTACCTCACACCCGCTGCATGCAAGCCTTTGGCGCTGAATGTAGGGATAGCCCTGATGGCGAGAACGGGGCGGTGGCGTGACAGTGGTCGCCCGGCATCCGACCCTTGGGCGGGCGCCTCACCGCCTCACCGGACTACACAGAGCATGACGCGACTCCAGGGGAATGTCGAAGTCGGGCCCGACGACTCTGTACCGGACATCGGTGGAATGTCGGGCGGTGGACGACCCTGTGCCGGACACCGGTAGAACGTTGGGCGGCGGACGGGACGACCCTGTGCTGGACGCCGGTGGATTGTCAGACGATGGACGAGACGACCCTGTGCTGGACACCGGTGGAATGTCAGGCGATGGACGAGACGATCCTGTGTCGGACACTGGTAGAGTGTCAGACGGCGGACGAGGCGACACTGCTCGACACCGGTGGAATGTCAGACGGCGGACGAGACAACCCTGTGCTGGACACCGTTGGAACATCAGACGGCGGACGAGACGACCCTATGCTGGACACCGGTGGAATGTCAGACGATGGACGAGACGACCCTGCGCCGGACACTGGTGGAATGTCAGATGGCGGACGAGACGACCCTGTGCTGGACGCCGGTGGATTGTCAGACGGCGGACGAGACGACCCTGTGCTGGACACCGGTGGAATGTCGGACGGCGAACGAGACGACCCTGGACACTGGTGGAATATTGGACGTTGGTGCGATACGGACAACCGTGTCGTTTGCTGGCACTACAGTATCGAACCGATTGCATGATATTCCGGCGTGCTTCTTTAAAATATGGAAGGAAGGTCTGGTGGACTCCACTGATCATGCCAGAAATTTACACGAAGGCGACTGATTACCAGATCGAGCTCCATCACGGCGCTCCGAAAAATGTGGGAATTGGTAATCATAGATTAATGACGATTTATGACACTTGAAAACTCTGAAATAATGCTCGATAGAAAGTGTAGTGTGGTTTGTATGTAACAACGATCCTGGTTTTTTTATATTCTGGGTAGAGGTTGAATATACGATAAAGGTGAAAGGATAGCACAAGAAAGTCGCACTGGTCAATAACACAATACAGTTGGCCGTCTGCCGGTTTGTCGGAAGCCTGACGACTGCCAGCGCGGCCTGGCCGCCGACCTGACCTGACCTGACCTGACCCGATCTCTGGGCCCGGCCGGGGCGCCCGCGGGCAGCGCGTGTCACCGAGCGGGTCGGGAGACGAAACCCTGGTGGTGAATGGAGCGTGGGACACCGCCGCGCCCGGACCAGCGACGCGCATGCATCTCTCCCGCGCAGAGCAGTGGCGCAATGCGCAATCGACATGCGAAAGGTATTGCGCTCAACGACATGTTTCATGCCGCTGTCGCACATCTATTTAAGATACGAATGACGCTATAATTCGCCCCACTCTCTCCACGTCGATACAATCACAGAACACCACTTCACACTTTCTGTTACGAGTGGCGGCCGCGGGCGACGAGATCAGCGCCTGAGATCTGCGCCAGGCTCACAGGCGGTGGTGACGTCAGGACCCAGCGCTGGCCTCTCGCCAGAGCACCCCCTCCCCCCCCCCCGGCCCTCCCCGTTCGTGCGGACAGCAGCGCTCCCCACTGTTGCGAGGACAGCCGCTGACCGCAGCTGGCACCGGGGCCGCGTCGCGCCATGTCGCCGCTGCGCCACACGAACGGCGCGCTGCGATGCTGCACGACTCGCTGGGGAATCCACGGCGCCGCGGGTCGGAGTGTGTTCGCGGCGACACGGAGAATAAAGAATCTGCCGTCGACGCCAGTTATGACGTCATACCTCATAGATTCTGCACCTTTTGGTAGAGGCAGCGACATGGACGACAAAGATTCCACGTGACGTCGCGTACGATCTTTGCAGAGCGCGCAGCATCTTTCCGCAATTTGATCGAATTGAGACAAATGGAGCAGCGTATTCAGCTATAGACAAGTCACTATTGGGCCAGCGCCAACCACGGGCGGTAAATAGATACTTTGTACGTCACAAACAGCATGACTTGCAGTTTCCATTGGCAGGAGCGCACGTTGTGCCTGCAAACGAAAATCTTGTCTGCATACGCAGTTATGTTCACGACAGTCGCGAAGGTGTGAACAGAAAACGTACGCTGCAAACACGTCCTGCGAAACTCCTACGTAACGTCACGTAGATGGGAACATTCTTGGCACGTTCTGAAAAGGCCTAAACAAGCTGCGTCATGCTCGCTGCAGACGGCGCTGACGCCGGCGGTAGCGCTACGGCGTCACCCGGTGAGCCCCGGCGGCGTGGATGGGCTCACTCGGCCCTTGGGTTCCTCGGGTCTGTCACGGCCACTGTGGGCGGGCGGCGGCGAACACGCGCTGATGCCGCCAAACCGTCACGCCAACAAAGCCGCCGTGCAGTCAGCCTCAGGACCCAGCGCAGTCAGGCCACCCGGCCTCCGGGCCGTCGGTGAAGGCCAAAGAGCTGTTTGAGAAGGTCAAGAACGAGCTCACTTGACACTGATGGACGGAGCAGGCGAAGCGGGCGATGACGTCACCAACGACCATCATCGTGTGACATGGACATAAGTCTGGGACTGCGGGGCTGCCTGGCAGTTTTGGAAGGCTTCATGGGCACCTGACATGCTATTTCTTGGTGTGGGAAGGTAGTCACTGGATAATGCTTCGTACCACTTCAACGAACAGATGTTTTGAAACAGGACTGTTACTGCCGTGATTACACTACTCCCCACCTGACCTTTTGATCGGCTTGACCTCTCTCGACCGCGCCAGTACAAGACCATCCCATTGGCGCGCCCTTCGTCAGCTGCGCATGGCTGGCTACGCCATACAGTTCGCTGCATGTCAAAACCTTACAGTTCGGCTGCTCGCTGTTTGTTTTTGTAGTTTTGTGAGGGTTCAGTCGGATGTGGGTGTCGACGTCGAGCTCGTGGTATGCTGCCAGAGAAGGCATGTCGTAATGTACGTCAGGGAGCCTGCGGCCACGCCACGTCTCGCGGGAAGAGCGGAGACCGACCACGATCATGAAGACCGACCACCCGCCCGCCCGCCCTGCCCTGACCTGACCTGGCTTCTCGACCCGCCGGATGATCCGCGCACAGAGGTGCTTCACGGAGCGAAAAGGGAGGGCAACCGCAGTGCCTGAATTGCTGCAACAATAGCGGTGACGATGGCACAATGCCAGCAGTGCCATCACGCCATGCGATGACGTCATCGCGTGGTGCGCAGTGATACATCACCGTAACGGGCAGGGATGCATTTAGTACGAGTGGAACCTTACCTTACATTGACGGATCACATTCCCCTCAACTTCCTGCTCATCCCCTTGAACTTTGTAGCCAGTCCCCGAAGAGAAGGGTGAAGTGACTGAAATAACCGGGAAATCGACTTTTAGGATGCCTTTAGTCATTGTCTCCATGTTGAGCCCAGGAAATAATTTTGCAACGCCACAGTCGTCGACTTCGTGTACCTGCGCGGTGGGGTGTTTGGATGTCAAATGACCACTGCAATCGGTGCGCCAGAAAGCTCTAATAAAAAGACAGCACAGCGGACATCTGACTCGGTCAGGCATTACACAGCTAACATCTGGCTCCATTAGTTATATTGAACGTATCCAAACCAACAGCGATTGAGGCCAAAATGGAAAAGCTGAAGGAGGTGAAGCCAAGAGAAACAGAAACTCGAGACCCACGTCAAAATGGAAAACATAAAGGGGCATAGAACACTTTGAGAACAATAAAAACAGGGCCATGGGCTGGAGCTGTAGTGTGAGGCCTCACTGGTGTCGAGCCGTGACCAAAGTACAGCAGCGAGGATGGCGTGAGCGGTACTCACGTACTCACTGTACTCACGCAGCCCACCACACCGTATCAGTATCTGCTCTGCCGACTCGCACACACCGAAGGGAGAGTGAGAGACGAACGGTGTATCCCTGACTCCGTCCCTGCCACATATCACGCCGAGTCCGTGTCAGAGAGGGAGAAAGAGTCGAAGAGAGTCGGCAGGGCTGAGTCCGTCGGAGCGTTCAGTCTCGAAGGGGGGGGGGCATCGGTTAGTGACCTAGCAATGCGCTTGACTCGTTTCATTGTATATGTTAAAAGGTTACTGACGGTGATGTGGGTCGCGTCTTTCAAGGGCGACAGCGACTCCGACTCTGACAAGTCGACCAAGTCCGACAGCAACAAGTCGACCAAGTCCGACAGCAACAAGTCGACCAAGTCCGACAGCAGCAAATCCAAATCCGACAGCAACAAATCGACCAAGTCCGACAGCGGCCAGTCGTCATCCTCCTCGAGTGCCAGGTGATAACTGCTTCTACGTACCGTCGCTGGAGTGAGTCAGTATTGTCTGACACCATGTCTGGCTGCCCGCGGCCGCTCTGCGCGCGCTGGTGGCGGCGTGACCCGACCTCGCCTGTCAGTAACCGGTCAGGCTTGCAGCATCAGAGGCGCAGACGTCGCTGACCAGCTGACCTGTGAGACTAGAGAGGGTAGGATGTCTTGGTGGGGACAGACGGGTTTGGACCGTCTTCGGGTCAGAGGGTCAGATGGGGAGGAGTCCGGGGAGCAAGCGGGTCAGGCGGTAGCATTGTCGTCTCAGCCGGCTGGCACTGACGGCGCCGTCCTGGACGGTAGCGCTGGCTCGAAGGGGTCGGGTCAGTGCCACAGTCGTACCCGCACTCCCCACACCTGCCATCAGGTGGCCTGTTGACCCGAAGATGAGCCAAGTCCAAGTATTTACACACGAGACCTTGAGCCTGAGCATGCATGATCTTGTCTCCAAGGTCAATGGCATCTCCGCGTTTTACGAATGCTATCGTTCGCTGTAATTTCGCACGGTAAAACGGTGTCCACAACCAAGAAGCATTCCGCCAGCTCCCACTGACTTGTGTTGCTCGGTCATGTGCTCTATTAACCGATGCTACGCCCGTGTAGCACATGGCCGGAACTTGTTCTTCGCTGATTCTGTGCTTCGCCGATCATTTATCTATTGTCCTGCTTTGTGCTCCTCTGCACTGTGCTCTGCTGACCTGACATGTGCTCCGCCAACCCGACCTGTGCTCCGCTGACCTGTGTGATGGTTCATCGAGCTGGCGCTGCTGACCCGGGGCGCGCCTCCACGGACCTTTGCTCCATCGACCGGCGTGTTACGGCCCGGACCCGACCTTCACTGCTGCCCTGTGCCGTGGCGTCTGTTGCGTTTCTGACCCGTTCGGCGCTGCCGCCTGCCCCGTGCCTGCGTGAACGGGAGCCCTGTGTGCGCGACGCAGTGACTCCGGCGAGGCCAGCAGCGGCAGCGGCGATGAGGCGCCGGCGGCCGCCCCGGCGCGCGGCGACACTCGACGCCGCAGCCGGCTGGCCGAGATCAAGGAGGTACGCCTCGCCGCCCCGTCCGCCTCCCCCGCCACAGGGCAGAAGGGGCGTCCGAACAGGCGTCGTTGACTTCGGAGAGGGAGTCAGCGACGCTCCTGCGCTGCTGTGGTCGGCTGTTTCTGCCGCGACCTCATGCCCGCTCGTCGCGTGCGTCAGCTGTTGCTTGACGTTGGCTCATGGACGCTCCACGTCAGTGAGTGGATGATGCGTGGGGTGTTTTGGCGTTGGTTCCTCCGCGCTGCCGTCCCGTGGCCTGACGAGGCGCCGTCGGCAGGCGTGGGAGGAGAACCCGGACGTCTACGGCATCCGACGGTCGGGCCGCGAGCGCAAGGAGCCCGAGCGGCTGACAGCCAAGGAGGAGGCGCGCAGAGCCGCCCGCACCAATGCCAGGAGGTGAGCCACGCCGCCGGCGGCGGGAGACGAAACGGGGCTCGAAGGTAGGGGCTAGCAGGGGCCAGGCGGCTGGAGATCCCGCCCTCAGCAGCGAGAACGAAGCCAGCAGCGATGTCAGGACTGAGCGCCAGCGGTGAGACGGCCGGTCGGGGTCAGACACAATACCGGCAGGGCTGGGATGGGAGGGGTCCTGGACTCGGAGAGCCAGCCGGACGACGCTGCGGCTCCTGCGCTGTGTTCGTGACGATGTCGGCAGCTTGCGGACACGCGCTGTACGGGACGGGTCGAAGGGAGCCGTGGTGACCAGGCGTGTGGCGTTTGCTGACGCCGCCGTGCTCCTGCCAGATCGTCAGCGGTGTGGGGGCAGCTCCGACTCCGGCTCCGACTCGGACAGCTCGGAAAGGCCGCGGCCCTCGCGCCGGCCCGGCGCCGCCGCCGCCGCCGCAGCCGCCGCGGCCAAGCGCGGCTCGGCCCGGCCCAAGACGGCCGGCCGGCGCCGACACCTCTCCGAGACGTCCGAGAGCGCCTCCGACAGCGACAATGCCAGGTCAGCTGGGTGACAAGCGTCGGGGTGGGGTCGGCCTGGACGGGGCCGTGGACCGGTGCCGCCGGCGGGCCGGCGGGTCACACTCCGGTAGGTCAGTCAATCAGACCTGACCTGTCCTGTCCTGATCTGAAGTGACCTGCTCTGACCTATCATGACCTGAGCTGGCACGACCAGTCATGACCTGGCCTGTTTTGACCTGACCCGTCCTGTCCTGTCCTGTCCTGTCCTGTCCTGTCCTGTCCTGTCCTGTCCTGACCTGACCTGACCTGACTGACCTGGCCACCGAAGGCAGGTCAGGTCCTGTACCACCACCATAAGATCAGCGGGGGATCATCACTGCTAGCAGGTCGTGAGCGTCGTCACTGCTGTCGGGGTCAGTGGGCCTACCACTGGCGCTGGGTCAGGCGGGCCGCCACACTCAGCTCTATGGCTGGTCAGCACTTCTTCCAGGTTGTTCGAGAGCGTAACGATGAGCTCTCACGAACGCGTGCATGTCGCACGCGAGGCGTCAGTAACGGTTTGCCGCGTCGTTTACACGCACACGTAGAGTCGCATGCATAAGGTTCGGTCACGAGGCGCAGTTAGCCGGCTCAAAAGGTTAGAAGCTGATTAGCTGTCGGAGATCATGGTCGTCATGACAACGCACGGGCGGGGCATCAAAATGTCACCGAGATCAACGTAAACCGTCAGATCCACAGCTTTTGGGATTATCAGTTAAGCAATATATCAGTATGGGGATATACCGTGCGCATGTTATGCGCTTGAGAAGCTCAAGTGGAACTCGGCGATATCAGGAGATGGACCTGTGTGTTCATGTCATGAAGCGACCCTGTCCCTCCGTCAAGTTATCACTCAAACTGATGTCACATTGATCAGGTTCATACATGCAGTGAGAGAGGTAGAGTTACGGCACAGACGTGATTCAATTTTTAGGTAATAGCTAAATACTGAAACAAAGGCTATGTGCAAACGCTTTGGTTCCACATTCCTGAAATAGATCCATGCTTAATGGTCGGCGTTGGAATGATTCAGTAAGAAATCGATGGTATAAGGCCAGTAGGTTCTGTTGAAACGGCTAGTTTTCGTGACGGAAAAGTTCTTGTGAGCTCCACCATCACGAAAGAAGCTCTCACGTGAGGCCTCCATGTCCTCGACGTAGACAGCATAGCGCATTAATTCAACGTCTCGAAATTAGGGCTTTGTGTCGGGCCTCGTGGCTAGATGTACATAGATGTCCTGGAGTGGTCTTGTGCTCTTGTGTGCTCTTGTTTATCCTGCGAACATTCTCGAGACTGAACGAAACACAGAAGATGGCGGCGGACGCCGATCTGGTGCGCCCCACGTCGCCGCGTGGCTAGTATGCAAACAAGCGCACCACTACGTCGCGCGCTTACGTGACGTCGTTGTGCTGGACCTGGGGCGCGCGCGCGCTAAACTCGGCCTGGCCGAAATGCGCCGAATTTCGACGTTGCTTTTACTGTAAACATATTTCGGGGTATTTTGGCTCGACATTCCTTTAGCATCATTATCACTCGTTTAACAACGCTATCTATGCGCTTGAATTGGCGGTGGCCGTGCGCCAAACACGGGTTCCCGGATTTATGGCGTGCATGTGCTGAAACTGCTGCCGTGATGGTGCTGTTACGCCGGGCATGGCCGCCGTAACTTTTATGTTTTGCGGTTTTTCCGAGCGGGGCCGGACTGTCGAGTATTTCCTCCTGCCTGTACAATGCACGAATCGGCAGCCGCACGTTGCAGAACTCATTCATACCTCAGCGAAAATTCATGCCCCGTCACTGAGAGGCTGGTGCATTGCGCAGAAAATCTTGCTACAGCCCAGTGTCGCTAATCGCGGTCCACTTTGATAGCGGATGGAATACTTCCCAAACCCTGTCTGCACATACATATTGCTCTGCAATGGTAAGACATGGGCCCGTAAAATACCGGCTCCGACAGGCAGCCACCTTTCCTGACTGGGGCAGCACTTATCTATGCTCATTGCCCTAGAGCGTTTTTCGCTCAGAGGCCTTGGTGTGTTTGTTCAAAGTGTTTGTTGTTGTTTAATGGTGTCTCAGGACGCGTCGACTGCGATAGTCATCTTGCGCCCATGTTTGTTCAAAGTCAGGAGGCGAAGTCTGCTCTGTGCTCGGCTGATCTGCGTTCTCTGAGTGCATTCGTTCATTCCCTAAACTCATGCCTCCCGGGTCTGTTCGTGCCGGCCGCCGCGCCCGCTCGCCGGCCGGCCGGGCCCCGGCGGTCGGTACGACGCGCCTGGCATCGACCCGGCCAAGGTCACGTCAAGGTCGAGTCGGCTGAGCCGCGGCTCAGCGCTCTGCGCTCCGGACCGGGCAACGTTGGCCGCGCGGCCTGGCTTGTCCTGCGGCAGACCAGGGGCCTGTGCAGGAGTGCGCTGCAGCCAGGCCTCCGGCCGGCCAGGGGTCTGTGCAGGAGCGCGCCGCATGCCGCGCTGTTTGGATAGGCCGGCATCCGTCCGTAGTGCGTACTCAGTACGCTGCATGCTGATTGGTCGTGAACCGGCACCAGCGCTGGACGGCGCCCGCCGTGATGTACAAATCCACGCTCCATTATTTTTTTAGTCGCAAAAACAAAAAAGTCAATTTTTGCGTTTTTAGTTCGTTGTGTTTTGTTTAGTTAGGCCGGCGGTCTGATAATGCAACGTGGCAGACAGTCGGCGTCGCACTCGCAGCGACCAATCAGCGGCCCAGGCCCATGCCGGGCCATTGACCCCGTCCTCGCCCTATTTTGCCACCGCGCTTTGCACAGTTGCAGAGCCGGCACACGAGCGCAGCCGGAGGCTCCCAACGCCTACCGCGCCTGAGCGCTCGCGAGCGTTTGCGGAGTTGGAGCACTGGCAGCGCGCGCGGCGCATGAACGCTCGCGGTGGCTCGCGAGCTGTGTGTACTGACGAGGCGATCATCCCTGTAAGAGGAGTGAGGGCTATCCTCTGTAGGGATGCAGTTGCACGGAAGTAGGGCGTGTTTTTGATCCAGTTCACATTCAGACTACAAGCTGCTTCCATCCGCATCCACGGCGAAACACGAGGGTTTTTCATGATTCACGTCATGTGTTTGAGGAAAGAAAATCTGAATAAATGTTAAGATGAGGGTCAACATATGGTTTTTATCATGACCATACTCTTATTATCAAATACTGCCTGTTCGCGAACTCCTGCACGCGTCCGTAGCAGGGACGCTGCCAGCCGGCTGAGCTCCTGCACGCGTCCGTAGCAGGAACGCTGCCGGCCGGCTGAGCTCCTGCGCGCATCCGTAGCAGGGAGATTGCCGGCCGGCTGAGCTCCTGCACACGTCCGTAGCAGGGAGATTGCCGTCCAGCGCGTCTACGCCCCCGAACTGAGGTCGAGCTCTTACGTACCGTACGCCACACTCCGGCCGCGCCATCGATCCGTGACGTCATTAGCGATGTGGTCACGTGATTGGACGCGGGTGTATCGGGGCGCGGACCAAGTTGATGGCTGGTTTTTCTTCGTTTTTTTCACGTTCAGTGCATTAGCAAGGTCGGCGCGGACAATAAGCCGATGGGCCTATTAGCTTATTAATGCGTATTAGCTACGCTGTATCAGATGCTAGACTGAAAGTTAGAACCAGGTAATCGTAAGCCTCAAAAATGTAGTTTTCAGACGGCATGGAATCGCTTTTCGTAGCGTATCGCCTGATCGCAAACACATTCCGGGATTCGGGTGGAAGGGGCACACATGAGTGCTGTACAACGTTACGGTATTATATTTTTATATTTTATGTATTTATTTTTTTTTATTCGATGGATAAAAAGTGATCGGGACAACTATGTTGTATGTATTTAGATAGTGACCCAAAACACGGTGCAAGCACACGGAAATGAACTATGCGTCGGCCTTCAGCTGTAGTTGATATTGTTCCAACTGTTATCAACGCCGGCATTTTGGGCTGCAGCTACTCAAAGCTGCGTGAAGAGTTTTGCATACCTACACATACGCGGGGGCGCACGCAGGATCTTGCGAAGGAATGGGTTGGGTTACGGAGTGGGTGGAGGGCGCAGCTCAAAGTTTTCCGCTAAATCTTCGTGTCTACCTCGAATTTTAAAATGGTTTAATTTATTCAAGCAGATCCTAACACATGTCATAAATGTGATAGGGGGACGCGTACGTGCCCCCGAGGCCGGTATGTACCTTCGACCCTGCACACGTGCCACACACACAGACGCTCCATGCGTATCTGGGATGCAGTGAACAGCTCTTCTCACCTCGCTGTGCACATCCAGCGTTTGTTACGTGCCGCTGTCCGGGCGAGGGCGCACGAGCGGCCGTCAGTACTTGTCAGCGGGCTGACCGGCCTGGCCGGACCTGACCCGATCCGGCGATGCCCTCACAGCCCGCCCGTCATTCAGCGGACGATGTGGTCACCTGACCTGCTCTGCTTTGATGTGACCTGGTGTGATCTGACCTGACCTAACGTGACCTGACCTGACGCTCCCACAGCCGGTCCGTCAGCCAGGGAACGGTGTGGTCACTTGACCAGCCTTGACCTTACCTGACCTGACCTGACGCTCCTACAGCTGGTCCATCAGCCGGCGGACGGTGCGGCCACTTGGCCTGATCTGACCTGACCTGACGCGCCCGCAGCCAGTCCATCAGCCGGCGGACGGTGTGGCCACTTGACCTGACCTGACCTGACGCGCCCACAGCCGGTCCATCAGCGGGCGGACGGTGTAGCCAGTTGACCTGACCTGACCTGACCTGACGCGCCCACAGCCGGTCCATCAGCCGGCGGACGGGCTCGCGCGTCAACTACCAGGAGGCGGAGGAAGAGGCCACCGACGAGGACGACCTGATGGAGGTGGACGCCGCCGCACTGGCCGCCGCCGAGTCTGAAAACGGCGAGACAGTGGAGCGCGTGCTCCAGCACCGTGTCGGCAAGGTTGGAGGTCAGTCGGCGCGCGGCCGGAGCGGAGGTCACGAATGGGGATATTTTGGGAAAATACGTGCGGTGCACGTCGTCGCTTAGCCAGTGTATTTCCAAGCAGGATTCGAACGCAACCGCTCGTGAAACACAAAACGGACTGACTGGCGGAGGGGGGGGGGGGGGGGGGGGGGTGGGGGGGGGGGGGGGGGAGTGGGGAGGAGCGGTCCCGGTTGGATCAGTCAGGATGGCTGGGCTCGATCCTGTTAAAGTGACCGAACTAAAGCAAAGGTTTTAACGCATAGCAGGCCATACACAACTTTGAGGCAATAATCTTCTCCTGAGCACACTTCTAAATCCGTCTCAGGTTCACTTGAGCCATGCCGTGGAGGTTGGTTATGGCGCATCAACATGATGCGTCGTGCTATCGTCGTTTCGTCTTAGTTTCCTTTGTCATCGTCATCGTTTTTATCCACAGCGCTGTGGTCGGCGTGCCGCTGCACAGATCCACAGCGCTGTGGCCGGTGTCACACAGCATAGTTCCACAGCGCTGTGGCCGGTGTCGCGCCGCACAGTTCCACAGCGCTGTGGCCGCTGTCGCATCGCACAGTTCCACAGCGCTGTGGTCGGCATGCCACCGCACATTCCCACAGCGCTGTGGCCGCTGTCGCACCGCACAGTTCCAGCTTTGGCCGGTGTCATGACGCTGTCCGCTGTCTCGGCAGCGACGGGCGCGGCCACCACCGTGTACGCCGTGGAGGAGAACGGCGACCCGAACGCCGGCTGTGACCCGGCCGACCCGGAGCAGGCGCGCGAGACCCAGTACCTGCTCAAGTGGAAGGGCTGGTCGCACCTGCACAACACCTGGGAGTCGGAGGACACGCTCAAGGCCCAGGGCGTAAGTGGCGCTCCTGCGACCCGCCCGGCCGGGTCCGGGCCGGCACAGCTGGCCGGCAGGGCCGCGATGCTGAACGGGGGGCCGGGGGACGGGGGGGGGGGGGGGGTGATGGTGCATGACGCTGGGGCGCGAGCTTCTCTGTGGCTGATCGGTGTTGGATTGCGGCGTCCCCTGCCAGCTAGGCGCCTGGCTTAAGTCACGAGGTATTTTGTTTGGAGGTGCCGCCCCTGGGCCTCTCGGCGTTTTCCCCGAGTTGTTCGTGGCGGAAGTGCATTGTCAGTGTGTATTCGTTACATCACACATATAATCAGTATCTAAGCTCGCTTGTGATTGGCTGGTAGAGTGCCAACGCCTCTGTATACTTGCGCTTCTCTTGTGATTGGCTAGTAGAGTGCTAATGGCTCAGTAGATTTCATGCCTCAGAAAATCCAACCGACGCCGCTTTGGTTGGCTGTTCAGCTGAGGTATATCAGCAAGCGATGGCAATGCTGCCGTAGGCTGCCGCTAGTCGACGACGTAGTAACTACCAATAAATTGTTTGGCCTGCCAGCAGAACTGCATTGGCGGCAAGGCGGCTGTTTAGTTCGGCAAATTGTAGTGACGGCGCATGCGCAGTGGGCCAGGTTTTGTCTGGGTTGTGGTGCATCTGTAGAGTGCCCGGGGGCGTTCTCACCACCTCTCACACCCGCTGCACGTGCCGTATGCTGCGATGCTTGCAAGACACCGGGTGGTGCCGCCTCTAGCAAACCCCGGGGTTTGTCTCCACGGGCCTGACCACGTGGCTTATTGGTTACGAGGTTCCTCACCACGTCCTCACCACTTGTCCGACCGCTTCCGCCGGCATGGGGACTGCCTGCCGCGTGCTCGGGCGCATGAGCGGGGTCCGACCTGAGCCGGGTCTGGTCTGGGCTGCACTGGCACCCGGCCTGGCCGCGGCTGCCGCTGCGCGTCGGTCTGGAGCCGGGTGCTGTGCTGTGCTGTGCGGGGCCGCCGGGGAGTGATGGTTCTGGCACGGCGCCGGGCGGGGCGCTCTCCGGCTGCGCGGGCGCCGCTCGCGCCTCGCTCTTGGCCTTGCGTCTAACCGCCTCTGACCGCCGCACCGCTCTGCGCGAGCCCCGAGCGTGTCGCTTCCGTCTGGCACCGGTGAGTCGCTGCTAACGGTGCACCAGGCTAACCGGGGCGCGCGCGTCACCTGTGGGCGCCGCCGTCGGCTGTGTTTGCGCGGCGCGCCGCTGGATGTCGCCACTCACGCTGTGCTGGCCGTGCTGCGGCGCCGCTCGGTCCGCCTGCAGTACTACGGGTTGCAGGTGAAGGGGCTCAAGAAGATCGACAACTACCGTAAGCGGTGCGACGAGGTGCGCCAGTACCTGGACACGTGCGGACCTGAGGATGCCGAGTACTTCATCTGCCAGAACGAGCTGCAGGAGGACCTCGTCACCAGCTACCTGGGAGTGGACCGCATCATAGGTGAGTGGCCCGGCGTCCGCCGCCGGCCATAGGTCCAGCTGAGGCCAGCCGTCGCTGAGAAGGCGGCGCGTAGCGGACTGAGTTTAGGGAAACCGCGCGTGCTGCGATGTGTCGCTGGTGACGTGACGGTGACGTGACGTTGGTGGTTTCATTGGCGGTTTGATGATTTTTTTCACGCTTGTGAGCGTCGTCATGAGTTGGCGTCGTCGCCGCCATCGCTGCGTTACCGATCACGTGAAGGTCAGTGACGCCCCGCTCCTGCCGCCCGCAGCCGAGTCACCGAAGCCGGGCCACGAGTACCCTGACTACCTGGTCAAGTGGCAGAACCTGCCGTACTCGGAGTGTACCTGGGAGGACGGCACGCTAATCGCCAAGAAGTTCGAGTACCGCATCGACGAGTTTGTGGCGCGCGAGCAGTCGCGCAAGACGCCGACCAAGCTGAACCAGGTGCTGCGCCGCCGGCCCAAGTTCGTCTCCTTCAGCCGGCAGCCGGACTTCTTCGGCGGCCTCTCGGTATGTGACGAGGGGAGGGGCGACGGAGTGGAGCTATGGTGGGATGGGAGCGCTTGCTTGGCTGCAGGGGATAGGGGTGTTGGCGAGTCGGTGGCTACCTAGCCGGGGACAGCCGAGGCAGTCACTGCTGCTGCCTAGCCACGCCGTCATCGTTTTTTTTTGTAAAAACACCGTTGCGCTGCCTGGGTTTGTACGGGAGCGATGGGATGGCTTGTGCCATCATCCGGCTGAGGGAGGGCTGAGCACTAAGGCTGCCAATAGCAGTGGATGTAAATCAAACATCGGCCTTTTCACTTGGATGCGGAGCAATGCTACTCGGAGATGCAGGCTCTCGTCCACGCCCTGAGGGCTGAAGGCGAAGTCAGTCCGCACTGACTTAGACACGCATCACGCCACAAGTGGGGGGCTTGGGGCGCTCTGGGCTGACAGTAGGTCGAACAACGTGACAGTTTGTGTCATGCGTCGTATCCAGCTGGGGATGTCCAGCGTGTCTGTGGTCAATACGTGCATGAAATCGCTATGCGAAGGGTGGCATATGTGAAATTCATGTGCGACCGTGTGTCTTTACAAATGTTTGGTTCAGTTGAGCTGAAGCTGGCGGAAAATGTTTGCTTCCTCTCGCCACTCTGGAACGAATTCATCTCATATAATTCATTGAATTTGTCATCATTTCTTAACTTTATTTTGGTCTTAGAGAAAAGTTTACTTTACGGGAAAAAGTAACGACGCGTTCGTTTTTGTGTCTTAAGTAAAAGCAGCCCGCGCGCCAGCGATCTGTTGTCGCCCACGCACACTGAGACTGCGCCGCGTTCCCGCAGGGCGACCTGGAGCTGCGCGACTACCAGCTGGACGGCATCAATTGGATGGTGCACTCGTGGTGCCGCGAGAACTCGGTGATCCTGGCCGACGAGATGGGCCTGGGCAAGACGATCCAGACCACCTGCTTCCTGTACTACCTGTTCCAGCAGCATGCCCTGTTCGGGCCGTACCTGGTGGTGGTACCGCTCTCCACGCTGCCGGCGTGGCAACGCGAGCTGGCCAAGTGGGCGCCGCAGATGAACGTGGTCACCTACCTGGGCGACGTCTCGTCCAGAGAGAAGGTCAGTCCGCGGGACGGGACGGGACGAGGCAAGACGGGACGGGACGGGACGGCAAGGGCGAGAGCGAGGGCGAGGGCGAGGGCGAGGGCGAGGGCGAGGGCGAGGGCGAGGTCGAGGTCGAGGTCGAGGTCGAGGTCGAGGTCGAGACCGAGGAGAGGCGAGAGGCGAGGCCAGACAAAGCGAGGGGGCGGGCCAAGATAATGGGAGCGGGGAGTTCTCCCCAACAGAGCGGTCAGCAGAGCCACGCTCGTAGAGTGTTCGGCGCCGCACAAGGGGCGAACTACCGATAACATGTACACTGCAGCCGGCTGTATGGCTTACACTGGCCGCCACTGTTCGGGGCATGTCGCATTGTTGCGCTCGCACTCTGCCGATGTGTCGTGGTTCCCTTTCGTACCTAGTTTTGTGTTTTGATGAAACGTGTGACCGGGAGTTCAGACAGCTTTTGGTGTGTTCGGAGGGTGCCTGCCATCGCAGCGAGAAGCCCACCTCCGTTGTAGATTTCCGAGGCCCGTTCGGCCGACTGGTGGTCCGTGTTGTGATGAGTGGTGCCCGCCGACCGGCTGCTTCTAACTCGGTTTTATTCACTGCAGATTCGCACGTATGAGTGGTGCTTTCCCGGCAACAAGCGACTCAAGTTCAACGTTCTGCTGACGTCGTACGAGATCCTGCTCAAAGGTCAGAACGCGGGCATGCGCTGCGGACTATCGCAGCGCCTCGTGCCGGCCGGCGGGGGTCATGCCTGGCCAGGTGAGGTTGTATTTTAGCGTCCCATCTGCGGCCTGGGTCCCGATAGCGTCCCGACAGAGGCCTGCAGCTGTGCTAGAGGACCCACCAGTGTCTCGAGTCATCTAGGGAGCCGGTGAGGTCGCTGCTCCATGACCTCGCTGCTTCCTAACCCTCTGTGCCACTTGTCTATGGTATGCCGTCGATCTTACTGACCCCCCACGGCACGTGGAAGCATGCTTTGCCGTGTTGCGTCCTCGCCCGTCGTCGACGTCGCTGAATGCGATGTTTTGTTCGGCGGTTCGTCCCTTGCCTTAAAGCGGACTTCAGACTGGCCGTGTTTGCTTGAGGAGTCCCAGTATCCACAACCCTACCATTCATACCATTTGGCTCCCCGACTGTCGTTGACTTCTTTTCATTCGCACTTATGCAGTGTAAATATGTACAATTTATTCACAGCTCCAGAACTGCATCTGTGCAGTTGGCCAAACGCAGAGTAAGAACTAGCTGTGTGAGTGGCAACTCCCTACACTCAGCACATTCACATCGGCTGGTACATCGGACAAATGGGCGGGCATCGGACAGCCCTGGGGATTCACCCCGCCTCATAGCACATCCCAGTGTGACGGCCTGTGACCTGTGACCTGTGACCTGTGACCTCTGACCTGCCGTCCTCAGACAAGTCGTTTCTGGGCGCGATCAGCTGGGCGGCGCTGCTGGTGGACGAGGCGCACCGGCTCAAGAACGAGGAGTCGCTGCTGTACAAGACGCTGTTCGAGTTCAACACCAACTTCCGGCTGCTCATCACGGGCACGCCGCTGCAGAACAGCCTGAAGGAGCTGTGGAGCCTGCTGCACTTCATCATGCCGCAGAGGTGCGGGCTGAGGCAGGGCTGGGGCTGGCTGGGATCGGGGTGGAGGCATGAGCGGGAGGACCGGCTGGGGAGCGTTCCCTGTTGACGGGTTAGTGCATAGTCTCAAATGTAAGGTCGGTTAAGCGAGGCTAGCCGTTGTTTCAGGTTTAGTTAAGTGATACAACACCACACTTGCAATGCAGTAATTCATAATAGTGCATTATAATCATGTCATATAGTATGTGCATTATCGTATTATCATCTATTATATTAATCACGATGCAGTAACCCCTCCGCCGAGCCGTGGGCTGGTTCGGTTCTTGTCTGTGGATGGGATGGGTTGAGGCGGCCCGATGCCATCAAGGGCCCAGGGTGCAGAGGCCGCTCAAAACGTGCTGCCGCCTCGCGCGGGGTACGCCATCCACAGCGGACGTGTATTGGGCTGCAAACCCCTGGCGGCCAAACACTGAACCACGCGGCGCCGACCTGTAGCGCGCTAAGCAATGCGTTGGCGGCAGGTTCGACCGCTGGGAGAGCTTCGAGGTGGACATGGACCAGGGCAGCAAGGCGTACGCGCGCCTGCACAAGCTGCTGGAGCCGTTCCTCCTGCGCCGCGTCAAGAAGGACGTGGAGAAGTCGCTGCCGGCCAAGGTGGAGCAGATCCTGCGCGTGGGCATGACGTCCCAGCAGCGGCAGTTCTACAAGTGGATCCTGACGCGCAACTACACCATGCTGAAGCGAGGCCTAAAGGCGGCCGCGCCGTCGCTCATCAACGTCATCATGGAGCTGAAGAAGTGCTGCAACCACGGCTACCTCACCAAGCCGCCCGACCCGGACGTACGGCTGGGCAGCTCCGAGGCCCTTCAGGTGCGGACCGAGGAGGGCCGGGGACGGGGCCGACTGTGGTGATCATTGCTGCTTATTCGGGCAGTAGCTTACGCCATTGTCAAACTGATTAACGCACTGACGCTAATGTACTCGGCTGCTGGCTTCAATCCGTCAGGCTTATGAGGCTGTAGTTGGGGCCGTTTTTGCCTCGTGTGCTGCTGCCTTGACTGTGCGATTACGTCGCTTATCTCCGCCATTGTCTTCAGCACAAGAATGTGGTGGCGTCCGCATGCCCCCGCACTGCTCTCTTCGTAAGAGGGAGTCAGTTCCGTCGATGCCCAAGCATTACGCTCACGAATGGCACATGGCACGGTTTGCCCCTGATTTTTTCTTCAAACTGGAAAATGCTTCATTATGGGAAAAAGTGTGAGCCGTTGGATCTGGGCGCGTGTCACCCGATCGTAATGTGTCCACCCCGCCCACCCTACGCTCACCTGACGCCCCCCGCCTTCCGCCGTTGCAGAACCTGCTGCGCGGCAGCGGCAAGCTGATGCTGCTGGACAAGCTGCTGGTGCGGCTGCGCGAGCGCGGCCACCGCGTGCTGGTGTTCTCGCAGATGGTGCGCATGCTGGACGTGCTGGCCGACTACATGCAGTTGCGCCACTTCCCGTTCCAGCGGCTGGACGGCGGCATGCGCGGTGACCTGCGCCGGCAGGCTCTGGACCACTTCAACGCCGAGGGCTCGCAGGTGCGGCCGAGGCGGCGGCGCGCCCGTCTGCCGCCATCTAGCGGACGTTGTTGTGACTAGCGGTTAACGGTGCTGACAGCGGGTGGTCGGGTTTCGGGGTCTCCTGGCCAGTGATTGCCATCGATGTGGTTTTAAATAGGTCAGGCGGCCGTCATGCTTAATGGGTGTCGTCCTTTGTTGACCTAATGTCTTTATGAAGCACACACTTGAAATGAAACTGCGTAAGAAGCACTGCAGTTAAATGGCTCTCAGTATGGTTGGCACATGTCACCTTGAAAACTGTATTATTTGCTATCATTTGTGAGATAATTTTAAAGGCATGGTGTCACGGCCTGATGCCGATGGTGCCTGTAGACGCCGCAGCGCGCTGACGCTGCCATGGCTTCGGCAGGACTTCTGTTTCCTGCTGTCGACTCGCGCCGGCGGCCTGGGCATCAACTTGGCCACGGCTGACACGGTCATCATCTACGACAGCGACTGGAACCCGCAGAACGACCTGCAGGCGCAGTCGCGCGCCCACAGGATCGGCCAGAAGAACCAGGTGAGAGGCTGAGAGGCGGCCCGGTGGACGGTGCGGTCGAATCCCTCTGCGGGCAGCTGTCTGGGCACGGTCGGACCCCTGTGTTGAGGCGGGGGTGAGGATGCCAATGGAGCGTGCTGAGATGAAGACGCGAGGTTGTGGTAGGGCTGTATTTGAGTTATCGTCTAGACGTCTGAAGCTATGTATGGCTCCGAGTTCGTGCCTAAAGTTACGTAGTTTTCAGTTCTTGTTTGCAGTCACTGCGACGTCTATTTTCAATTCATCTTGTACAGTCGCAGCCGGACCGTGTAGCGGCGTGTCTCAGGGCGCGGCCGTACCCAGCTTCTGTAACTTGCCCGAGGACGCACCCGGCACCCTCTTGTACCTGTCGCGCCGTCGCGGACGTAGCCGGAGCCGTCGTGTCAGGGCTCGGCCGGAGCGGCGCCGTCGGCCGCCTCGCCCCCGATCGGACACGCTCCGGCGGCCCTGAGCCCAATGTGATCGCGTCGGAAGCTGGCGCCTCGGCCGAGCGCCGCGATAAGCTGAAGGCGATCAGCAGCCGACGCTGGCCTGACAGCTGACGGTGCTGTCCGATCTGACGGAATGCGGCGGGCGCCGGTGCCAGCTCGGAGTTCAGTTTTCACCCGGCTGATGCATTTTTGTGATGGTCGCATGACAGTTTAACTTGAATCAGAGGGCCGTTGTCGTTAGAGACCGGTTTATCGATCACAATCAGTGCATATTGGGGATATGCATGCTTGATGAAGCAACTGAAGCACAAGCTCAGGGAGTGTGCGGCGTCTGCGGGCAATTAGCGGGAGTAATACGCGCCTATAAGCCTCACGTCGGGGTCGCCCGCTCTCCCACTCCAACGGGGCCAAGGGTATATCGAGACAACATTCCTGCTATTTCAAATGCATCTCGACCAGCATCTAAACACTTGGCTTCGGGCCCAGATGAGCCTCCGATGCCGCGGCATTTTGCAATGTTGATGTGGAATTCTGACGATAAACCGTTTTCGTGCTGCGCAGAAGGCCTCGAGCCGGCTAAGTGAGTCGGTGTTGGGGTCTGCGCGGGGCCCAGCAGCGTCGAGTCCTCGCGCTGTGCCTGCCGCTCGCGACGGTGGGAACAATGCGGCCTCTCCTCTGCGGCCGGCCGTCCGAGGCCTGAGCGCCGTCCTGAGAGCCCGCCGGCCCGCCAGCTATCCGCGAGTCCCCGCTTGTCACCATTCCGCCGGCGGCGGCGGCGCCGCTCCGTCCTGTCGGCTCCTGGTGCTGCGCCACTGCAGCCGCGCTGCTCAAGGACGCCCTGGCCCGACCCGGGAATAATTGATCCGGTCTGGGCTCGGCCCGAATTTGGCGACGGGGACGCGTCGTCGCCGCGACGCGGTGCGACTTCGCGCGATCCCGGAGGTGTCGGGAGGCGGAGGCATGCCCGGGTCCTCCGCCGACGAGATGCCCGCTGCTGATCGGAGGCGGAGGTGGTGGTGACGGTCCCGGTCCCGGGCAGCGCGGCGTGCCTCGCGAGGCGCTGGTCCAAGCCGGTGGGACTCTGGCGGGCTGCCGTTGGGATGGTTCGGCGCGTTTCGAAGTGTTCTGTTGCGCCTGGGCCATGCTGCCGCCGGGTTATTAGCTAATTCGCAGTCTCTTCTCTCATTTGCAAGCTCTTCACCTTCGTGTGTAGAAGTTGGTTGCGCCATGCACATCTCGTCAGCTTTTGGCCTTAGGTTGTTTTCGGAGTGGTTTTGGATGTTAAGCACTTGCTTTAGATAAGTGCAATAAGCGCATGCCAATTGCATTACCAATGGGTACCCGGACAGGTGCTGACGACTTCACATTGCCCTTGGGTATGGAATTAAAAGACATTATTCGACATCCCAGTTAAAGCGCATAGTTCCCGGAGGTGACGTGGCTACCTGAATATCTAAGATGATGTGATGATTCGAAAATGGTATCCAAATCGCATGGAGTTATCGGATACGTAGATGTAGGCATAAGTGCATGATGCGATACCGACTAGTCTTAGGAAATAAGTACGACCGCCTACCAGCATTGTGTTGATAATGTTAGCAAACGTTAGACATCGTACAGACGGCGATGCACGTGTCTGCATCGCATGCTGCGTTTGATGGTTCGTTGACTGCACGGAACGTGCGCAAAGTCGAAGTTGTAAGACGCGCGGAAGCTATTTTGATGTTCATCCGCAAAACTGGGCCTTCTCGATACTGTTCCGCGACGCGCCGGCACTGAGGCGCACAAACCGGTTGATCCACAATCCCGAAAACAAACCGAGCCGCAAAACCGACTGCTTTCACTGCCTTCAGCCGCCCATCCACATCGCAGTTATGTGCCCGGATTGTGGCCAGCTGACCCAAACTGAAGGGCATTGCGGTGTCATGAGGACCGGTGCACGGCGGGTCCGGCGCCGCCACAGAGGTCCGGCGGACCGGTGACGTAAGAACCGGGGTCTAGGGTACTAGCCGGTCCCGGTACCGCCACAGAGGTCCGGCGGACCGGTGACGTGAGGACCGGGGTCTAGGGTACTAGCCGGTTACGGCGCCGCCACAGAGGTCTGGCGGACCGGTGGCATGAGAACCTGAGTCTAAGGTACATGCCGGTTACGGCGCCGCCCCAGACGTCCTCGGGACCGGTGACGTGAGGACCGGGGTTTTAGGTACCAGCCGGTCCCGGCGCCGCCACAGAGGTCCGGCGGACCGGTGACGTGAGGACCGGGGTCTGAGCCTCTGTCGGTCCCGGTGCCGCCAGACGTATTGGGTTACGGCGACGCGAGGACCAGGGCTTGGGTCACCTGCTGGTTACGGCGCCACAGGCGTCCGGGACCGGTGACATGAGGACCGGGGTCTGAGCCTCTGTCGGTCCCGGTGCCGCCAGACGTATTGGGTTACGGCGACGCGAGGACCAGGGCTTGGGTCACCTGCTGGTTGCGGCGCCACAGGCGTCCGGGGCCGGTGACATGAGGACCGGGGTCTGGGCCTCTGTCGGTCCCGGTGCCGCCAGACGTATTGGGTTACGGCGACGCGAGGACCAGGGCTTGGGTCACCGGCTGGTTACGGCGCCACAGGCGTCCGGGGCCGGTGACATGAGGACCGGGGTCTGGGCCTCTGTCGGTCCCGGTGCCGCCAGACGTATTGGGGTACGGCGACGCGAGGACCAGGGCTTGGGTCACCGGCTGGTTACGGCGCCACAGGCGTCCGGGGCCGGTGACATGAGGACCGGGGTCTGGGCCTCTGTCGGTCCCGGTGCCGCCAGACGTATTGGGTTACGGCGACGCGAGGACCAGGGCTTGGGTCACCGGCTGGTTACGGCGCCACAGGCGTCCGGGGCCGGTGACATGGGGACCGGGGTCTGGGCCTCTGTCGGTCCCGGTGCCGCCAGACGTATTGGGTTACGGCGACGCGAGGACCAGGGCTTGGGTCACCGGCTGGTTACGGCGCCACAGGCGTCCGGGGCCGGTGACATGGGGACCGGGACCTGAGTCACCTACCGGCCACGCCACCAGGCGTCACCAGACGTCCGGCGGTGCGGGTCCGCTGTCGCTGCGCCAGGGAGCGGCCCCTTCCGGCGCACGGTGACCACATCGGAGGTGCAGTGACCGACGTCACGTTTTTCAGCCTCACGCCCCGTAATGCGCTGTCAAAACGGGCCGCATTTTTTCTTCTAGCTGTGGTGACAATGCGAGGTTTTGAGCGCGCCAACCGCGGAGGTCATTTTGCGTCCGTTTTCTTGCTGCTAGATTGCATCATTTGCAGCAGGCAACTGATGGAGTTCTTTAATGAAAACAATGGCAGCCGTGTAAATCAAGCCCTGATGGTAAATAATACAGCTGTCGCGCTGTGCACGTGCCTAACACCAGGAGAAATTAAGCGCCGGTCGTGCCGGTTGGCTGCCAGCGCCTTCTATCTGGTCATCTCCAGCCTGGCGTTACGTCCGGGACCGGTGTCCTGAGCTGGAGCAGGGTCCACTGAGTCACGCTGGCGGGTCGGAATCAGCTGATTGGGGTCTGCGCTCCCTGCTGGTGATGCGTGTCCGCCGACGTCACGCGATCGGGGAGGCAGTTGATCAGAGTCGCCCCCCCCCCCCCCCCCCCCCCCCCCTGAAGGTGACGCGTCCGCCATCACGCGATCGGAGAGTCATCTGATCAGAGTCCGCACTCCCCTTTGATGACGTGTGTCATCGACATCACGGGATCAGAGAGTCAGCTGATCAGAGTCGGCCCTCCCTGTCGGTCACGCGCATCTCGCCGCGCCGCCGCGGGCGTCGGTGAGATGTCTGCTGCTGTGCTCCTCGGCGCGCGCAAGGACGGCCGCCGCTTCTACGAGGTCGGCGTGGCGAGGGCGGCGCCTCGCCACGTCCAGAAGCCAGAGATCGGAGAGCGCCCGGCGCAGCGAAGGACGCAACACATGCGGGGCTGCAGCAGCTCTGTGGCGGGCAGTCTCACCAATCCCGCTGAGTTTTTGATTGGTCTCGCTTTGTCATCAACGAAAAACTCCGTCTGGCCTTGTCTCCGTGAGGGAGTGTCATGAAGGAGACCGGTATCGAGTGCTCATGTCATTTTGGCGTGGTGATGCGGTACCGTCACCCGTGAGCATGGGAGCCGGTCTTCCTCATTTGGTGCTGTGGCGTCAAAGAGGCAGAACTCTTTGTCGGAAGCTGACGCCATTTCATTGTGGCTTGGGAAGCCTCGTGATTGTTGGGCGCCCATTCGTCAGTTTGCAGATGCAACCGAGGAATGTCGAAAATGGTTGCGGTTTGATGTCTAAGGCGAAAGATATTTGATAAGCAGACACAGCTACATGTGTAAGCTGTCCAAGATCGATATGACGCGGGTAAACTGGTCCTAACTGTCCCGGAGCCGTCTTAAAAATCGTCCGACCTGCTAGCCCGCTCATAACGGTGCGCTCACAGGACATTGACGCCCTTTTTCGGCGTCTCATAAACTGCACCTACGGGTGTGAACATATCGCGTGACGGGATTTCCTCCCCCTTCCTAAAAAAAGCCGCGCCGCATGGCACGGATTGCCACTGTCTGGGGCGTTTTACCGGATAATCGCGTGCCATTCGGACACCTGGCGCAGAGCTGGGCGCTGAGTCACGGAGGACCAGCGCGGCGTCATGCGGCGCGCCGTCTCCAGCATTCCCCGCACAAACCAGCGGCACCGGTTTGTTCTGAGCCGCCGCGACTCTGCGACAGCGTCCCCAGCCCTGTCGCGCGGCGCCGCCGGCCTGACCAGCTTTGTGAGCGCTCGTTCAGGAGCCCGCCGGGCGTCCCGGCCGTTCTGGACCCCGCCGGGCGTCTCGACCGTTCTGGACTCCTCCGGTTGTCCTGACCGTTCTGAACTCCGCCGGGTGTCCCGACCGTTCTGGACTCGCCGGGGGTCCCGACCGTTCTGGACCCCCGGGCGTCCAGGCCGTTCTGGACCTCCCGGGCGTTCCGACCGTTCTGGGCCTCCCGGGTGTCCCGACCGTTCTGGGCCCCCCCGGCCGTCCCGGCCGTTCTGGACTCCGCCTGGTGCTCCGGCCGTTCTGGACTCCGCGGGGTGTCCCGACCGTTCTGGACCCCCGGGCGCCCCGGCCGTTCTGGACCCCGCCGGTCGTCCCGGCCGTTCTGGCCCCCCTCCCCCCCCGGGGCGTCCCGACCTTTCTGGACCCTGCCGGATGTCCCGACCGTTCTGGACCCCGCCGAGCGTCCCAGCCGTTCTGGACCCTGCCGGGCGTCCCGGCCGTTCTGGGCCCCGCTGGGCGTCCCGGCCGTTCTGGACCCCGCCGGTCGCCCCGATCGTGGATGGCGTATCGGGAGGGGGGACGCGGCAGCCCCGCGCCGGGCCGGCGGGGCTGGAGGACTAAGCCGCCGCTGCGGCGTCGGTAGCGGTCGGAACGCGGCGACCACGGCGGCTATGTGGGGCTCGCTGTCCGGCGAGGGCCGCGCGTGCTGACGGGATTGGCCTCGACCTGACATCGATCCGCCGCAGCGGCCGCCACCGACGCCAACTGCTCTGCACCGAGCGGCCGTCTCGGCGCCGCGTGGAGCAGATCGTAGCTCCGATGCGCGGATCACGGGATTTCCGTCTCTCCATCGTGCGGATCAGCGAGGCGGCTTGACGAGCGCGCCAGCTACTCGGGCCACTTCGCTGGATCACCGACGGCCGGCGTCTGCGCTGTACGGATCGCCGCCTGTCGCCGCCCGCCGGGCTTATGAATGCTCGCCGATCTTCCCACGGTGGTGCCATCTGCATATCGGCGTCCTTTCGCGCATGAGAACTATGCGAGCTTTACGGTTCTGTGCGAGCAGTGTAGGCTGAATCGGCTTGCCCCGTGAAATGCCTGTCGTTACGTTTGTGCGCCTGCGTCTGCCGCAGTTCTATGCGTCGCTCTTACTGGCGCGTATTATCGCCGCAGGTGAACATCTACCGTCTGGTGACGATGCAGAGCATCGAGGAGGATATCATCGAGCGGGCCAAGCGGAAGATGGTGCTGGACCACCTGGTCATCCAGTCCATGGACTCCACGGGCCGCACCGTCCTCAAGAAAGGAGGTCAGTCCCGCTGGGCCCGTCCTCCACACGGCGCGTGCACACGAGCGGGCCCGCACAGAGCACGCGTCAGGGCATGGCACCTGGCCGGCCGGTGACAGGGTGCACACGCCTGCTGCATTCGGCGCTGCCGCCGTCCAGATGTCGCCTCGTCGCCTCCGGACGTCATCTTCTCAAAATCAATAATTTTGGGGAACTCTTGAGCCGTTACGATGTTTTGCTCTCTCAGTAGCGTGTCAGTGTTTCAAAGTTGTGTAACTACAACTTTGTAGTTACAAAGTTGTAGTTGCACAACTCAAAAGGGCCTACAGTACAGGCCTAAAAAAACTAGTCTACCGACATTCCTCCAACGATGTAAGCTGTTGTCATCTTATGCTGTCATCCTGGTGTCATGTTCCCGACGCCAAAGCTTGTTCGGAAGAAAGCACTTCTACGAAAGCAGCCCTTGCAGGGTTACGTCATTTCCAACCCAGTGGTCCATGCTCACAATGGGCTTCTCACTCAGCATCCCAACACAAATCATTGTCTGCGACACTATCGCACGAGAGCCACCAAGCGCACCGTGACACTAGAGCCTGGAGAGACATTGCGACACTTGAGTGTGGAGGGACGTCGTGACACTGGTCTAGAAGGACGCTGTGACACTAGGGACTGGCGGAACACTGGCACTAGAGCCTGGTGGGACACTGATACTAGAGGCTGGCGGGACACTGTAACACTACAGTCTGGAGAGACGCTGACCCACGTGAGACTGAAGCTTCACTGGTTTGTCCTGCGCCAGACGCGGCGGCTGGTGCCGCGGCGCCGCACTATCAGCGGTCGCCCCGCTGGGCCCTTCCCGACTCGCTCGGCCGCCGCTGGTGTGCCCTGCGCCGCCGCCGAGCGGCCCCGCACGACAGTGGGTCGGCTATGTTGTAGAAAGTTGGTGCGGGAGCGTGCCGGCGCCGTCCGGACGGCCGCCCGCTCGTTGCTGCTGTGGGGAAGGCCGGAGGAAGGGCGGCGCCGGCGGCCCAAGTCACAGCCGGCTGCACGCCTGAAGGGGTGCACTGAGAGCTTGACATGGTGCTGGTCATGCGCGGTACCTCTTGATCCCCTGGCTAACAAGGTCGCAAAACGAATCCGCCGCCGCTATCGCCGCGCTAAGGCCGACATGCCCGCTGCCTAGCTGTGAAGTCTTTGTTGCCCGCTGGCGGCAAGGCTGCGGCGTGTTCTTGCAACCTTGCGACGGCTCCTGTCTCTGTAGACGGCTCATGTCGCTTCCGGGGACGGGGATCGGCTGTCCGGGACGGAGGCGTGCCGCGAGACGTCCGTGGAGCGGGGGCCCTCTGTGTCGGCTGTCCGGGACGGAGGCGGGGAACGGACGTGTCGGGAGACGTCCGTGGAGCTCCGGTCCTCCGCGTCGGCGGTCCGGGTCGGAGGCAGGGACGGGCGGGTCGGGAGACGTCCGTGGAGCTGGGGCCCTGTGTGTCGGCTGTCCGGGTCGGAGGCAGGGACGGACGTGTCGAGATCCGTCCGCAGAAGCTCGAGCCCTCCATGTTGGCTGTCCGGGACGGCCGACCATGTGGGACTGGCCCCTCTTCTCCTGGCGCGACGGCAGCCGCTGGTCGCTTCTGCGGGCGGGTGGGCGGTCGGGTGAGCTGGATAATACAACCGAGTGAATGTGCTGTGGTCGGACGACAGGAATGCCTTAATGCTGGTGCCATTTCGCCCCCGTGCGCACCAGGCGACGGCCTATGTGACCTCGATTGACGGTGACAGCAGACTGTTTCGGCTAATCGCTGCTGCCTTCGCACTGCACGGGATTACACCGGTGTCCTTGGAAAAGCGGTTGTACCGTGGCATCTGCGTGACAATTACAGAGCTCAAATGGGTGTTCCATCGCTGTCGTAACGGGCTTTCCTTTAAGCCGTGTTTTGTCCCACAAAAGGACGCGTAAGTCTTAATCGTTTTGTGCGCACGCGCCTCAGCATCGAGTTAAATGTGTTCGCGGGAAGGGACAGGCTTTAGGAGAACTTTCAGAACTTTTAAAGAACTTTTATTTCGCAAAGTGGTCTTGCGTTCTGTAATGCCAGCATGCTGTATACTGGCATGCATTTTTGGGCACCGTTTCGGCACGTTAAGATTATAACATTGTGTTTTTTATTATTCAAACCAATCTTGGACACGGAGAAGCAAAGTCTGGTGCCATTGTTTTCCCTTGTTTCGATGAATTCTAGCATTTACCAAGACGTTAAGCTCGCATTCCACTGACATTTTTGCTACAAAGCAAGACGGTCATTAGCCTAAAACCGTCGATACGATGGCGTGCAGGCGATGCGCGAAGTACAGACCTCATGCAGAGCCGCAGATGTCCGGCACGAGAGGATCGGCGCGGTTCTTTTGTGAAGGACGGCGCGGGATCAGGGGAGGGCGCTTCGCCGACCGCAAGGCCGCGCATCTCCGGCACAGGGGAGATCTGACCTTGGCTGCTGCAGCGGTCGCTGCAGCGGTCTCCCCTCCCGTGGCAGAACTGTCTCGCGCTGCAGCAGCCGGCGACCGCCGTGTCCTGGACGGCGCGCGTCCGGCTCGCCGGCTGGCGGAACCCGCCCCGCTTTTTTGCGATGAACGACCTTCCTTGCGTGATGGCGGCGTGTAGTGGCTTCGGTGCGGTATGCTGCTGGCGGGCTGAGGTCGAGGGACTGCAATTATTTTTGCGAGGCATTTGTTTGGGGCCGGTCTGCGCCGGTGGGCCTGGAGTCAGGTGCGAGTTCGTGGCAAGTGCAGCCAGTTTCACGAGGCCGGACCTGCCAGCCAAAAATCGTCTTCGGTCGCTGCCGGGGTTTTGGGATTTTGCTCTGACCTTGTAGCCGGAGGAGACCGCAAATAAATGCCATTACGTTGGACAGAGTTGCAGCTTGGGCGCTCCATTTGAGACTGATAGTAAGTCGGATGCTGACTGGCTGTTATGCAACAGCCGTATCAAACGGTCCAGTCTTTGGAATTCGTTCCCGGTGGTGATGGACTAAGGCCTGTGGCAAGAGCCACGTCTTCTGACCATAACGTCCGGCAATGGATGCGTTCCTTCAATGCATTTGGCGTAGAAACGTACACCGTATCCCCACATGCGTGATGAGGGCGAGTGGGACCGCTGCTGCGCTGGGGGCAGCATTCGGCGGCGGGTGCACGCTGTTCGGCGCGGCCGGCAGCGCCGTGGTAGCGACCGCCTCCGCCGGAGGTTCGGCGGGCTCTCGACGGACGCGAGATCCACGGGACCGCCGCCGGCCGTCCCACGTCAAGCTGGCGCACCCCGCAGCTGTGTTTGACACAGCTGCCGCCGTGTCAAACACAGCTGCCGGCGCAAGCCGCGGCGCTCCCTCGCGTCGATGTGTAAGAGATGGCGTGACGCGTGAAAGGCAGCGACTTGAGACGTACAGAAGCGCTAAGCAATCGCGGATGATGCTCACCGCTGCGCCTTCAGTCGGGCCGCCCGACACGCAGCGAGCGCCGCAGCAGACATATGCCGTCGTCCCGCCGTCGCTTCCGCCTGCGGGCCTTCCGGGGTCAGCGCATTGTCGGGGGGTCGGCGGCGGCGGCGGCGGCGGCGGCGGCGGCGGCGGCCTTCTCCGACGGCCGCCGCCGGCGCGGTGACTGCCGGCAATCATCGCCGTCCGCCGGCCGGCGGCGGCGAAGCGGCGCTCTTTCGCCGCCAAGCGCCAGACAAACGCGGCGCCGTGCAAGACAAACGCGGCGCCGCGGTGGCTGGCAATCGGGCCGTGAATGCGGTGTGCCGGCGCTGCGGTCGGCCGCGGCGTCTCGCGAAGGTAGCGGCCGTACCGCGACGCGCCGGGCTTTGTGGCGTTCCTGGTACGGCGGCGGCGGTGGCGACGGCGGCGCCTCTCGGACGGGCTGCCGACAGGGGCGCACGGCACGAGCGACGTCAACGCCGGCGGTGCGCCGCGCCGCCGCCGCCACCGCCGCCGTCTATTACCAACGCAGATTAATTCGGCGGACGGGCGGCGCCGTCACCGGGCCATGACGTCACGACCCGGGCGTGCAGGCGTGCTCGGTGCCGCGGGCTGCTCGGCCGGCCGCCGGCCTCGGGAAGGCCGCCGCTCGTCCGCCGGATTAGCCGTCGCCGGGCGCCGGCGAGCCGGCGGTGTATCGGGGAATGTGCCGCGACGCCGCCGGCGGCTGACCGCGGCCGGCCTTGGTCGGATCGCGAGGACGCCGGCCGCGACGTCACCCGGCGCTGCCGTGGTGAACCCGCGCACTCCGCGTCTGCGAACGGGGCCCGCTTCCAGCCCGATGCCGTCATCGAAGGCTCTGGTTTGTGGCACGTGGTCGCGCGTCCACTAGACGAGGGAGCCCGCCTGCCGGCCACACGGCGTGACGCTGCCTGCCATGTAAGGGAACGTTGCTGCGTTACGAGGTAGTGCTGGACTATGTACGTAGTTCATTAGTTAGACTAAACAAAACTCGTTATGGGTGCCAAATAAGCATTGCAGTCGGCGCGCCCGAAAACACCAAGAAACAACCAAAGCAACAAGGTGTCATATATATATATATATATATATATATATATATATATATATATATATATATATGACACCGAGGCAGCGGAAGTGGTCATGCGAGGTAGCACCGCTCGGTGTGCGAGGTAGTATCGCCTGGTGTGCGAGATAGCACCGCTCGGTGTGCGAGGTAGCACCGCTCGGTGTAGGAGGTAGCACCGCTCGGTGTACGAGATAGCACCGCTTGGTGTGAGAGGTAGCACCGCTTGGTGTGCGAGGTAGCACCGCTCGGAGTACGAGGTAGCACCACTTGGTGTGCGAAGTAGCGCCGCTCGGCGTGCGAGGTAGCACCGCTTGGTGTGCGAGGTAGCACCGCTCGGTGTAGGAGGTAGCACCGCTCGGTTTACGAGGTAGCACCGCTTGGTGTACGAGGCGCCACCGCTCGGTTTACGAGGTAGCACCGCTCGGTTAACGAGGTAGCACCGCGACTTCCGGATTACATCGGGCCGACCA